TTGTACAGATTATTTCATCACCTAGGTATTAAGCCCCATACCCAATAGTTACGTTTCTGCTTCTTTTCCTCCTCCCACCCTTCATGCTCAAATAGATCTCAGTGTCTATTGTTCCATTTGTGTTGATGAGTTTTCATCATTTGGCTCCCACTTATAAGTAAGAACATGTGGTATTTGGTTTTCTGTGGTAATATTCGTTTTGTAAATTTGGATGCTCCAATGTTGGGTGCATATATGTTTAGGATTGTTACATCTTCTTGCTGAATTGATCACTTTATCATTATATAATGCCCTTCTTTGTTCTTTCTTACTGTTTTTGACTTAAAGTCTATTTTATCTGACATAAGTATAACTACTCCTGCTGGCTTTTATTTCTGTTTGCTTGAAATATCTTTTCCACCTCTTTACTTTCAACCTTTATGTGTTTTTATGGGTAAGGTGAGTTTCTTGTAGGCAGCATGTACTTGGATTATTTTTAAAACCCATTCTGCCAATCTGCATCTTTTCAGTGGAGCATTTAGTCCATTTACTTTCGAGGTTAATATTGATATGTGAAGCTTTATTCCTATCATATTGTTGATTGATTTCAAGTTGTTTTATAGATTCTTTGTTTCTGTCTTTTTGTCTTTGTGGTTTAGTAAAATTTTGTCATGTTGCCATTTGATTCCATTCTTTTCCTCTTTTGTGTGATTGTTTCATACAAACTGTAAGTTTTATATTTCCATGTGTTTTAATGATGATGAATATTGACCTTTCATTTCCATATTTAAGACCCCTTTGAGCATTTCCTGTAGGGTGACCATTTGTAGGGGTAACAAATTCCCTCAGCGTTTGCTTGCCTGGAGAGGACTTTATTTACGAAGCCTATTTTGGCAGGACACAAAATTCTTGGCTGACAGTTCTTTTCTTTAAGCACTTTGAAAATACTATTCCATTCTCTTCTGGCCTGTAAGATTTCTGCTGAAAAGTCTACTGTTAGTCTAATGGAGTTTTCTTTATAGGTGACTAGAAACTTTTGTATTGTTACTGTCCAAATTATTTCTTTCTCATTGACTTTAGATATTCTGAATATAATATTGCCGTGGTGATATTCTTTTGCAATGTTTTTGCCTGGGTACCACTGGACTTCCTGTATCTGTATGTCTAACTCTCTTGCTATTCTTGGGACATTTTTATTGATTATTTCCTCAAATATGTTTTCTAAGCTTTTGTTTTGTTTTTGAGACAAGAGCTCACTCTGTCACCCAGGTTGGACAGCAGTGGCACAATCATGGCCCATTGCAACCTCAAACTCCTGGGATCAAGCAATCCTCCCACCTTAGCCCCCCGAGTAGCCTGGATGACAGACATGAGCCACCATGCCTTGCTAATTAAAAAAATTTTTTTGTAAAGGCAGAGTCTTGTTTTCTTGCCTAGGCTCGTCTCAAGCTCTTGATCTCAAGCAGTCCTCCCACTTTGGCCTCCCAAATTGCTGGAATTACAGATGTGAGCCATTACACCTGGCCATTTCTAAACTTTTGGATCTCTCTTCCCCCTTGGGTGTACTGATCATTTTTAAGTTTGGTTGTTTTATATCATCTCAGATATCTTGAAGGCTTTTTTATCCTTCATAATTCTTTTTTCCTTAGTTTTGTCTGGCTGAATTGTTTCAAAAGACATGTCTTCAGGTACTGAGATTTTATTTTCTTTCATTTTCTGAATTGCTTTACTGATTTTCTTGTATTAGTTTACAATTTTCTTTTACTTTTAGTAGAGACAAGGTTTCAGCATGGTGCCCAGGCTAATCTTGAACTCCTGGCCTCAAGTGATCTGCCTGCTGTGGCCTTCCAAAGTGCTGGGATTACAGTGGGATTACAGGCACGAGACACTATGTCTGGCCTAATTTTCAGATATCCTTTGCATCTCATTAAGCTTCTTTAAAAATCAATATTTTAAATTATTTATCTGGCATTTCAAGGAATTCATTTTTATTGGAATCTGTTGCTGGACAATTATGGTCCTTTGATGGTGCCCAATTTCCCTGCTTTTTCATGCTTCCTGTGTTTTTCCATTGATATCTTTGCATCTAGTGTAGCAGTTGCTTGTTTCAGTTTTTTGAAATTGCTTTGGTAGGGGATTTTTTTTTCTTCTGAGGATGTGTACATGTTGTTGATTAAGATACTTCGACTTTGATTTTATGTGCTGGCAGTAATGTGATCTTTGTATGACTTCTTTTGCAGTATACATAGTCAGTGGTCTCTGTGATTGCCTTGGCGACTTATGGTACAGTTATTAGTTAAGGTTGTGGTGACTTTTAGCTGGGGACTTAGATGCCAACTGATATGGTTTTGGTCTGTGTCCCTGCCCAAATCTCATGTTGAATTGTAATCCCTAGTGTTGGAGGTGGGGCCTGGTGAGAGGCAATTGAATCATGGGAGCAGATTTTCTCCTTGGTACTGTGTCACAATAGTGAGTGAGTTTTGTGATATCTGGTTGTTTAAAAGTGTGGGGCACCACCCCCCTCTGTCTCAGTCCTGCTCCTACCATATAAGATGCCTGCTCCCACGTTGCCTTCTGCCATGAGGAAAAGCTCCCTGAGGCCTCCACAGAAGCATATGCTGCCATGCTTCCTGTATAGTCTGTGGAACCACCAGGCAATTAAACCTATTTTCTTTATAAATTACCCAGTCTCAGGTCTTTCTTTTTTTCTTTTTCTTTTCTTTTTTTGAGATAGGGGCTCACTCTGTCACCCAGGTGGGAGCGCAGTTGTGTGATCTCAGCTCGCTGCAGCCTCTGTCTTCCAGGTTCAAGCGATTATTGTGCCTCAGCCTCCCACGTAGCTGGAATTACAGGTGTGCACCATCACGCCCATCTAATTTTTGTATTTTAGTAGAGATGAGGTTTCACCATGTTGTCCAGGCTGGTCTTGAACCCCTGGCCTCAAGTGATCTGTCCGCTTCAGCCTCGCAAAGTGCTGGGATTATAGGCATGAGCCACTGTGCCTGGCCATCAGGTATTTCTCTATAGCAGTGTGAGAACAAACTAATACACCAACGGAGCCAGTCTTTGGGCCCTAGTAGTGGCAGCAGTGGGGTGAATGAGCCTGTTTTAAGGCTCCAGAGTAGCTTATACTGGCCCTTGTGTTAGTGGTCCTACTGGGCTCATTCTTGGGCCTCCAAGCTGCTTAAAAGTGGGCAGTGGGAGCAGTGGGCCTGGTGTGTGGGTGGAGTCTCAGGCCCCTGGGAAGCTGGTGTGCTGTGGGTAACGGCAGTAGCAGCAGTGGAGGAAACCACAGGGACCCGTGCCATCTGTGTTGGTGTTGCTGGAAGCTGCAGTGGATTGGGTGGTTTATTCCCTAGTCCCACAGCTGCCTGTAGCAGGGCAGTGGGTACTGTCCTAAGTGTTCTTTGGAGACCTTCGTCTTCCTTGTCTCTCTCTCAGTTGGCTGGCGACTGCTGTTGTGTCACCTTGACCTTGGCCCAAGGGTGGGGCACAGCTTAGTGTTAAACTCTCAAAATGGTGCCAGCTGTGGGCTTGTGACCAGAGAGGGTCAGGCCCTTCTCAGGCAAACAGTATGGGCCAGACTCTGTGAGAAGTGTGGTTCACTTGAGTGTTGGTCTCGCAGCAGCCTGTGGCCGGGCATTGAATATTATCCTAGGTATGCATCGGAAAGCCTGGCTGCCCTATCCCTCCTTGACCAGGGAGTAGCTGCAGCCATGTCAACTTGAATTTGGCCTGACCATGGGGCATAGCCCAGCATTAAACTCTCAAAATGGCACCTTGGGCCTGTGGCCAGGGAGGGTGGGGTGCCTCCTAGGCAAGAAGCATGTGTAAGAAGCTGTGGGGAGTGTCATCCCCTCACCTCTCAGTCTCACAGCAGCCTGTTGCAGATCAGTGGGTGTTGTCCTCCATTTGCATGAGAGAGCCTGGTTTCTCCATCACTCCTTGGCTAGGCAGCAGCTGTAATTGTGTTAGTTTAACCTCAGCCCAAGGGCGGGGCACAGTCCAGCATTCAACTCTTAAGATGGTGCCTTGGGGTTAAGACCAGAGAGGGTGGGGCATCTCCCAGGCAAGCAGTGTGAGCAAGAAGCTATGGGGAACATGGCTCATTTATGTCTCAGTTTCAACTGCAGCCCATAGCAGGGCGGCAGGTACCCTCCCATTGGTGCGTAGGAGCACCTGTTCTTCCCTCGCCCTCCTTGGAGCTGCTCAGTGGCAGCAGCTGGGTCTGTAGATCCCCAGTATCCAGGCTCTCAAAATGGCTCCCAGTTGAGGCTGCTCTGGGTGCTGAAGCTTGTGGGAGTCTGTGTGGGTTCCCTTTCTGGGGCAACATCTCTGTGCAATCTTTAGGAAGCTCCATATGCCAGGCCTGATGCTGTAGTGAATCCACTACAGGCTTTCTCCCATAGCCAAGATCATAAAAGCCCATTTTGGAGTTCTAGGGATTTCTCTCTTCCTGTTTCCCTAGGTCCGGGAGCCTCTCTTGGGTCTCGGTCGGTTCCTGGCTGGGCAAGCTTCCTCACACCATGTCCTTTCTTACTGCTGGTGTTTCTCGTCTGTTCTCTGGTGCATCCAAGTGTTCTTTCCTAGATGATCTGTTCAAAATGGGAGGATCTGTGTACTATTCTCTTTCCTCTCCTTGGAGGAGGCACACGAGCCATCCAATTTCTGCAGATCATCTTGCATCCTGATTTTAGGCTTTGTTAGGGTAGGTCTTTTTCTCCTTTTTTCTTATTCCAAGGTATAGCGTGTACCCCTAGTTCATCGTTTGTCATTAGAAGCTGTAGCATCTCTGGAGTATCCTTTGAATGTCAGGGACGATCGAGAAGGTTTCTCTCTTTCGGCCGCGCCTGCACTTCACCACTCACCACATTGTGTAGGATCAAGAATCTATGCTCAGCTCTCAGTCTCCCTGGAATTTACTTCCTTTTTTTTTTTTTTCAAGACAGGGTCTCACTCTGTTGCCCAGGCTGTGCTGCAGTGGCAGGATCTCGGCTCACTGCAACCTCCACCTCCTGTTTCAAGAGATTGTCCTGCCTCAGCCACGTGAGTAGCTGGGACTACAGGCGCCCACCACCATGCCGAGTCAATTTTGTGCTTTTAGTAGAGACGGGGTTTCCATGTTGGCCAGGCTGGTCTCAATCCCTTGACCTCAAGTGATCTGCCCTCTTCGGCCTCCCTCCCAAAGTGCTGTGATTACAGGCGTGAGCCACCACGCCCGGCCACGAATTTACTTTCTGTTAGGCCTTCTGAAGTTGTATTAAAGGATATGGCCAGGATTCAGCTAAGGACCTAAGGAAAATTTCTTTGTAGACTTCTGAGGTATCTGTTCCATAGCTTCCCTATCTCTGTAGGTATGCTCATCAAATTCCAGCTACTTTAGCAGTTTCAAACTTAATCTCTGCTTCCATCCAGCAAGACCACTGTAACTATTTGGGTTCTGCTTTCCTACCGCATGGCCTGGAAGATGTTTCCAAAGGGAAGTCTGGGTGAATGTGGGGCCTCACCTTCTATGCTTCCTCATTTCCAAAGAATGGAAACCTTCTGTTGGTTTTTGTACAGTGCCTAAAAATTGATGTTTTATGCATTTTCTCCAGTTTTCGTAGCTGGTTTCAGTAAATCTGATATCAGTTATTTCACATTGGATGTAATTAGAAGTCTGTACTAAGACTTTTAGACAAAATCTAGATGGTTTAAAAATTTCTCAGTAAAATAAGTGTAGAGTTAATATTTTTCATCTCCTGAGATACAAACCACAAATAGTAAGATCTACATAATTTAAGAGCTCAATATAATGCTTAACTGTAATATAAAGGGCAAGTAAATTTATTATAAAATATCCATTTTATTATATAAAATTTCAGACCTGAATATACTGAATACATAATAATTTGATGCCTGTACATTTTTATAATAATACTTTGTAAGAGAAAAAGATCAGAAGTCATATATACAAAAAATATATAAAAAAGAAGAGCAGAGGTATTAGTGGGAATTACTATTATAAATAATAAAGAACAGAATAAGAGAAAGAACAAACTTATTCATCTAATACAGGAGAAAGGAGGATATAATGTTAATCTGTGTAGGCAGAACAGGCTGAGGCCAATTACAGAGTGCTGAACTAGACAAAATGAGAAATAGTCTCATAATTAACCGGGGCAAATACAGTGTTAATTTCTTTTGTTATTTCATGGAATGGGGAAATAGAAAAGTATCCCATACAAAGTTTGAACTATGACAGATCCCACTATCTGTTGAGATATATGTTCAGTCTCTAGTACTTAACATGATCTTGGGTGCTGTTATCTTTGAAAGTGTATCAAGGATGGATTGGAAGAAGGTAGTTGTAACAGAGGCTCTGGAGAAATTGTATGGTGGACTCCTGGAGATAACATCCGAGTAAGACTGAAAAACAACAGGCAACCCAAATATATACATTCAATATGTAATGTTCACAGCAGAGACTTTAAAAATTATTGTTACAAAATACGCATATTTAAAATATGCATATAAATTATACAATTATGATAAATTAAAATATGCACATTTAAAATACACCTATAAAATGACAAATTTTATACATATAAAAACAACGTTTATTTTTTAAAAATTAAATGAAATTAAATGAGCTTGCATGTCAGAATATAGTTCTCTTTCTGTGGATTATATTCCTAACCTAGGCAAGTATGTGGAAGCTTTTACTGGCCAGTTAAGAGCCACTCAATTCTGAGAAGCTCTCCCCTAGGCATTAGTAGCTTCTTTGGTAATTTGGTTACACCTTTGTACTGACCCTCCACTGGCAGCATTTTGCTAAAGTGCTTTCCTATGCCTTGCTCCCCATGCTACAGCAATTCTCAGGAAACCTGAGGCTTCCAGTCTCATCTCCCTCTAGTGTTCCAGGGTTGGGGTCTGCAGGCAGTGGTGATAGGCATCTTTCTTTTTTATAATATTTTTATAAGAATACTTTGTATGTAAGAGAAAAAGATCAGAAGTCATATGTACAAAAAATATATAAAAAAGAAAGAGCAGAGGCATTAGTGGGAATTACTATTATAAATAATAAAGAACAGAATAAGAGAAAGAACAGACTTATTCATCTAATACAGGAGAAAGGAGGATATTGCCTGCAGCAAATTACAGCTGTTCCCCCTTACACCAATCTCAAACTGCTAAGTCAATCAGGAATTATCTCATGATCATAAAATGGCTTGGGCAGCATAATTTCCAGTTCACATGCATCAGGAGAAACTGGCTTTTCTCAGTTTCTCAGCTTTTGCAAACTCCGACTTTTAGGAGTGGTCCATCGTCCCTCTCTGCAGGCTCCTATACGGTGCCTTCTTTTTAACATTGCTGGCTTTGGCTCTGGTTGTTATAGATCAGGTCAGCGAGTCCCACCTGGGTCCCAAAGACTATCACTGGGGACTGGGATGCTTCCTGTAAATAGCCACGAACTTTACAGCTGCTGCTTCTCTCCCCCAGCTTCAGAGAGGAGAGCCGTTCGAACGCCACACTCCTGCTGCGGAATGCTGAGGTGAGCGGATAACCTCCTTTCATAAACACCTAACATATTCCATGGGGTGGGGGAAATCTAGTGCTCCTTATAGTGAAAAGGCACCTGCATTAGTTTCCCAGAGCTAATGTAACAAGGTGTCACAAATGAGTGGCTTAGAAGGACAGAAATTTATTATCTCACTGTTCTGGAGGTTAGAAGTTCAAAATCAAGATGCTGGCAGGGTCATGCTCCCTCAGAAACCTGTAGCAGAAGGATCCTTCCCAACCTCCTCCTGGTTTGCTAGAAATCTTTGGCACTTCTTGACTTGTCAATGCATCACCCAATCCTTCATCTTTACATGGTTTTCTCCTTGTGCGTCTTCACATCGTTTTCCCTCTGTGCATATCTGTGTCTGTCTCTAATTTCCCCTTTTTCTTTGTTTTGAGATGAGAGTCGCTCTCTCTCACCCAGGCTGGAGTGCAATGGCATGATCTAGTCTTACCACACCGCCTCCTGGGTTCCAGCGATTCTCCTGCCTCAGCCTCCTGAGTAGGTGAGATTACAGGTGCGCACCACTATGCCTGGCTAAGTTTTGTATTTTTAGTAGAGACGGAGTTTCACCATGGTGGTCAGGCTAGTCTTGAACTCCTGACCTCAAGCAATCCACCTGCCTCGGCCTCCCAAAGTGCTGGGATTACAGGCGTGAGCCACTGCGCCCAGCCCAATTTTCCCTTTTTATAAGGAAACCAGTGATATTGGATTAGGCTTTCTCCTAATGATTTCATTTTAATTTGATTGGTTATTTAAAGACCCTACTTCTAAATTAGGTCATATTCTGAGTACTGGGGATTAGGACCTCAATATATTTTTTTGAGGGGGACACAACTCAATACATAACATTTTCATCAAGATTTTAAGTGGTTTTGTGGCCTTAAAATACCGAGTACTTCTCCTGCTTTCAGAGGGAGGTTCTAGTCACCAATTCTTGGAAAACAGGAAAAAATTCAATCTGGCTTCATATATCATTATGCTACTGATATAATGATAAGAGCTGATAAATAATAAATAATAAAAACTTACTGAGGGACAACTATGAGTTAAGAGCTGTTGTAAGCTCTTTTAGTGATATATTGTCATTTAATCCTCCCATCTACTCTGTGGGTTAGAGACTATTATTTCCGTTTTACAGATGAGAAAACAAAAGCGCAGAGAGAGCAAGAGTCTTGACATTATCACATGAACATTATGCCAACTTCCAAAATCACAGTATTTTCTCCTCTCGGATGGAGGAGTTCTTTAATTCAAGCCAATCTCCTCCAACCTCAGATAAAGTGGGCATTCAACACTATTTTCCTACATCCCCTCAACCACAGGGATTGCAGGGGCTGTATTGATCCGTGTTAACCCATACTGGCTTTTAAAAAGGGAAGAGTCAATTTGTGATCAAATCGCATGCTTTATTGAAGAACTGAGAAAAAAGAGCAACGGAAAGGACTTCATTAGAATGCGTTTTCCATGTGGCCTCTTGAAAAAATTAGAGTTCTTTGCTAATGCACAGTTAATCTTTTGTTCTTGACTGGAGTCACACTGGTTCTTTGCAAATTATGAAGAAATAGAAGTTGTGTGTGGTGTGATTTCCAAGGATTCCGACAGTGAGATTTCTGAGGGCGAAGTGCCTGAGATGAAATGAGATAGCAAACGGATCATTATTATAGTCTAAAATAAGAGCCTTATCCTGAGACATTGAGTTAAAGTAAGACAAAACAACAACAAGCGAACAAATATGTAAACCTGGAAAGTGGTTAGTTAAAAGTGTACTGAGAAGACAGTACCTACTGTGTTCTGGGGGGCCTAGCCAAAGGCATATCAGATCTATAACTCATCAGATATCAGAGGTTTCAATGAACTACAACAACCATATTAAACTAAATTATTCTTCTTCTTAAAATGATTTTAACTGGACTCCGGTGAGTCCCGATACCTCTTGGGTACTCTACTTCCTGTTCTAGACCAGAAGAGAAATATCTGACAACCATTGGAGTGGAGAGCCATCTGGCTCGTACTACAGGATTTTTGGGAGCCACTGTAGAAGGCATTCTAATGGGAACAGTGTCATTCTTTTCTTGAGTAAACCTCTGTTTTTCTATTTTGTTTTTAAGTTCACAGCAGAATATGATATTGCATAAGCACATACACACAAAACTGAAAATACATGATTTAAGAAACAGTTTCCTAATCAAGTAAAATACAGGTTAGCATTTAAAGCTATGTTCAATAGTTATTGAGCAGTATGGGAAATAGAAATAAGGGATAAGCAGTTTATTAAACTAATTTTATTTAATCTAAGATTGAACGTTGAGTGTGAAACCAACATACAAAACATTAATAAGCTTCCTAAATATCTTTCAAATTTATCATCTTCTCTTTATTCTTCATTGTTTAGGTTTAGGTACTCATTGTTTGGCTTGCCTGTTGGGGCAACCAGCTAATTATATTCATCTCTAGCTTTGTTCTTCTTTTTCCTATCTCTATCTCTATTTTCCTCCCAGAATGACTGAGGACACTCTGGTTGACTCCCTCAAAATTATCCTACTACATATGATTTGTCTGAATCCTTCATGGTAATCCCATTCCCTTTGCTATTACTCAATTCAGAGATGAGCAGACCTGAGGCAATTAAGCCAAGTGAAGTAAAGAGAGGTCTCCTTGTAGCTTCTGAGAAAGGCCAGTTTCTCCTGCTGGATGTGAACTGGAAATTATGCTGCCTAAGCCATTTTATGATCATGAGATGATTCCTGATTGATTTAGCAGTTTGAGTTGGGGGTGCGGGGAAGGGCTGTAATTTGCTGCAGGAAATATTCTAATGAAAATAATTATATAAATGAAAAGTTTGATCCAGAAACATTGTTGTTAAAAACCCTGCAAGAGCATCCTGGTATCTATAGACTAAATTCAAAATTCTTTAATAAGGTATAGTTAAGCCCCATTAAGATCTGGTCTCAATGTCCTTCTACAGCCTCATTTCCTGCCACTCTCCTCCACATATTATCCTACAGGAATTCCACAAACATGCTGTTCCTTTGGCTCCTGGCAGTTTTAGGTTGACACCAAACTACAGATTTTTGTTTTTGGAATTAATTATCTATTTTGAAAGGATTTAGGGAAAATAGGTAAATAAGGAGATTAAAATCATCAGCCATTACAATCTATTTCCTTTCATCACTTTGTTTAGTGAGCGTGTTTTTGCCCTTTATTATTTTAATGAAATATATTGCATTGATTGATTTTGGTATGTTAAACTAACTTTGAATTACTATAATAAATCTCACTTGGCCCTGTTGTATAATCATATTTATATGTTGCTGGATTTGGTTTGCTAGTTTTTTGTTGAAGATTTTTGTACCCCCAGCCTGTAAGCAGCAGTGGGCTCTGGCATTACACTGGTTCCCCACTTCTGTAGGTTTCATGCTGGACGTAAAGCCTGCATTTGCTGTTGAGCCACCCTGTTTATGTGTGTGTGTGTGTGTGTATGTGTGTGTTTGTGTGTGTGTCTTTCTTTAACCCTTCCCTTCCCTTCAAAACCTAACACCTCCTAGTTTGTTTTTCTTTTTTAATATTGGTTTGACTATTTCGGGTCTTTTCCATGTTCATATGAATGTCAGGATAAGCTTGTCAATTTCTGAAAAATGCCAGCTGTAATTTAACAGGGGTTGTGTTAAATTGTATATTAAGTTGGGGAGTATTACCATCCTAATATTGTCTTTGAATATTATCTTTTATCTATGAACATGGGATGCCTTTTCATTTGTTTGTATCTTCTTAAATTTCTTTTTTTTTTTTTTTTTCATCCTTTATGTCATCCTCCCCCCCCCCCCCCCCCCCCCCCCCCCCCCCCCCCCCCTTTTTCATTTGTTTGTATCTTCTTAAATTTCTTTCAATAATGTTTTGGAGTTTGTGGTAGACAAGTCTCGCACTTCTTTTTAAAAATTTATTCCTAAATGTGAAGTATATGTATATTTATTCCTTTTGATGTTACTGTAACTGTGTTTTTGTATACAAAAATACAACTGGTTTTTGTATATTGGCCATATATTCTGCCATTTTGTTAAACTTATTTATTAGTTCAGATTTTTATGGATTTTTTTAGCATTTTATACAAGATCAGATAATGTCATCTGTAAAAAGTGTTAGTTTTAATTTTTCCTGGATCAAGCTAAATTATTTTGTTTATTTTTTATTGCCTGATTTTCCTGGGTAGAACCTACAATACAATGGTGAATGTAAGTGACAAGATATCTTGTTTCTTACCTTAGAAGAAAATGATTCAGTGTCTCTTTATCAAGTATTATGTTAATGATAAATTTTTAATAAATTCCCATATTTAGGTTGAGAAAATTCCATTCTATTCCTAGTTTTTCAAATTTTTTAATCATAAAAGGGTGTTCAATTTTCTTAAATGCTTCTTCTATGTCTTTTGAGGTGATCATGTGGTTTCTGGCTTTTATTTTATTAGTAAGGTGTAATACATTGATTAGTTTTCATATATTGAACTAGCTCTGTACTCTTAGGATAAATCCTAACTAGTCATGATATATAATACTTTTTGTATGTTGCTAGATTCCATTTGTTAATAGTTTTTGAGGATTTATGCATCTATATTTATAACGGGTATTAGTCTATAGTTTCCTTTTATTATAATGTCTTTGTTTTATTTTAGTACCAAACTAGTGCTAGCCTTATAAAATGAGTTAGGAAGTATTTATTCCTCCTCTTTTTTTTTTTTTTTGAAAAAAGTTTGTGAATAAGTAGTATTAATGCTTTAAACCTTTGGTAGAGTTCATAATGTAGCTATCTGAGACTGGGCTATTCTTATGGAAAGTTTTTGATTATTAATTTGATTCTTTAACTTGTGATACGTATATTTAGGTTTCTATTTCTTCTTGAGTCAGTTTCAGTCATTTGTGTATTTCTAGAAATTTGTCCATTTCATGTAGGTTATCTAATTTGTTGGCATATGATTGTTCAATATTTTTACTTCTATAACATTGTTAGTAATGTTCTTTCTTTATACTTATAGTAAATTAAGTCTTCTTTCTTTTTTCTTGGTCAGTGTGGTTAATGGTTTGTTATTTTGAGATTCTTTTTAAAGAAAGAACTTTTGGTTTTATTGCTTTTCTCTATTGTTTTCCTATCTTCTATTTCATTTATTTCTGCTCTAGTCTTTATTATTTTCACTTTACGTTTAGTTTTCTCTTCCTGATTTTTTAAGGAGGAAAGTTGGGTTTTTGATTTGAGATACTTATTCAAAATATAGTCTTTATAGCTATACATTTTCCAATATTTCTTCACAAACTCACTGTGCCAATTTTTTCTTTCTTTCTCTCTTCTTTCCTTATGTGATCACCATTATGCACATTTTGGTATGCTTGCTGGTGTTTCAAAGGTGTCTGAAGCTCTGTTCATTTTTCTTCATTCTGTTTCATAGATTAGGTAATTTTAATTGACCTACTGTCAAGTTTGTGGATAATTTCTTCTGCCAACTCAAATTTTCTGTTGAGATCCTTGAGTAAAATTTTTATTTTAGTTATTATAATTTTCTGCTCTACAATTTCTATTTGGTTCTTTTTGAAAAATAGTTTCTATTTTATGTCATTATTAATATTCTCTTTTTGGTGAGACATTGTGTTTATACTTTTAGTTTTTTTAGGCATGGTTTTGAAAAGTTCTTTGTGCTTATTTATACTTGCTGACTTAAAATACTGTTTTTTTCTAGAAATCTCAACATTTAGACTTTTTTGGAGAAAATTTTTATTGACTGTTTTTTCTCCTGTATTTAAGCCATATTTCTCTGTTTCCTTGCATATTTTATATTTTTACTTGTTAAAAATTGAACATTTGAAATAACATAGTGTGGCAACATTGTAAATCATAGCCCTCTAGGGGTTGGTTTTATCATTGTCTTTGTTACTCTGCTTTGTTAACTTGGTGGTCAGCTAGTGATTGGACATAGATTTCCTTAATTCTCTCAAACCAGTAAGTTTCCTAGACTTTGCTGAGAGATTGTGTGTGTGCGTGTTTGCATGTGTTTGTGTTGGGGTAAGGTTTTAAAGCTCTGGGAGAGTTTGCAACTCTGCCTTAGCTATCGCTTCTTGCTTTTATTGTAAAAAGCAGGAGATGGTTTGTGAGGGATGGGAATAGGACAAGTTACAATACCACAAAGTTCACTGTTCCTACCGTGATTCGGCCATTTAACTTGAATGGTTGAATTGGATTTTCTTCAGGTCAGCCAGAGGTGGGAGGTTAGGACATTTTTCAGGTCTTTTCTTGGCATGTACACATCCCTGCATAGGCATGTGACCTTTTACGTTTCCAGATATGTCATAATTTCAAAATATTCTATGGACATCTGACTGCTCAGATTTTTTCTTTTAAATGTGAATTTTTGTTTGGCACAACTGTTATCTCTGCCTCGGGCAGCTGTGATGTTAAATGCTCTGATTGTTCTGACAAATATCCCAGAAAGAAAAGCTGTTTACAGGGACTGAGTTCTGAATGAAATCAAATTAAAAAGAGTCTTGCCAGTGGGGATGTCTGGGGAACTGCCAGACAAATTAGCCACAATTCTCTGAGAATGAGACTTTTTTGGGGCACTTAAATCCAATTTTGTCCTTTCCTGTGGTTGTTAGGCTGTTTTTTGTTTTTTTTTTTCTCCCACAGGTACTATGGTTGCAAGGTTGTTACTTTTAAAGGCTACTGAGGAGATGTGGTAAGACGGATGGGAATAGGGCATGCTGCAATACCATAGAGCTCACTGTTCTTACCATGATTTGGCCATTTAACTTGAATAAATGCTTATTTAATTGTCGCAGGTCGTTGACTAATTTCTGAAGTTCTGAAAAAGTTGATTTTGACACCTTTTTCAGTATTCTCATTGCTTTTATTGAGGAATGGGTTTTTGGAGGTTCTTACTATTCTATTCTAGAAGTACTCTTTTCAGTGTCCTCTAAAGTGTTTATTTTCTGAAGGCATTTGATATTCCAAATGTTGGAAACAACATTTCAGAACTAAATTTGAATTTTTGGGTTTATAGCAGTCAGTATCCCCATATCACAAGTATGATCTCCGAAACCTTTTTAGTCTATATATTCCCTCTATTAATCTCCTGGGAGATGTTAAGTCTAAAAGACTTCTACATAGTTGTGCCAGGGCAGGTTGTTTGACTTCGGTTCCACACAATATCAAGCAGAAGACATTTCAGCATGTTTTCAGATACTCTTGACCTTACTTTTGAAGCAACACTCTTGTTTGCCAAGTCTAAACTTTGAACTCTCAGAGAGGGTCCTTATAATAAACTGACTTTATCTTGATTTGACTGCCAGAAACAAAGTTACTCACGTTCTTCAGTGTGTTTTTCATGATGAAATGCTCTTGCAACCCACTGGATGATTATGATTACAATGGTCATCTCTAAGATGGTGCAGAGTAGTAAATATTGTAAAAGCACCATACCAACTATCTGAATAAAATTATTCATATTAATTAACCATTTAAAATGATATAAGGTCAACATTTAGAAAATTGGGAGTAATATTCATCCTAGCAGTCTCACACAATTATGATTTTTTTGGGTATTTTCATAACAACTAAGTATGTTTTAAATTTATTGAGTACTTACATATTGTCCTCCTGTATTCATTTCCTAGGGCAATATAATAAAGTACCACAAACTGGGTGGCTTAACACAACAGAAGTTTATTGACTTATGGGTTTGGATGCCAAAAGTTCAAAATAAATGTATTGGCAGGATCATGCTCTTTCTGAGGCATATAGGAGAGAATCCTCCCTTGTCTCATCCAGGTTCTGGTAGCCCCAGGTGTTCCTTGACTTGTAATAGCATAACTCCTATCTCTGCTTCTATGTTCAGATGGTGATATGGTTCATCTCTGTGTCCCCACTCAAATCTCATTTCAAACTGTAATTCCCAACTGTTGAGGGGGGGATCTGATGGGAGGTGATTAGATCATGGGGGCAGTTTTCCCCATGCTGTTCTCATGATAGTGAGTGAGTTCTCATGAGATCTGATGGTTGAAAAGTCTGTGGAAGTTCCCCCTTTACTCTCTCTCTCCTGCCTTCTTGTGAAGAAACTTGTTTCTCTATTGCCTTCCACCATGATTGTATGTTTCCTGAGGCTTCCCCAGCCATGTGAAACTGTGAGCCAATTAACCCTTTTACTTGATAAATTACCCAGTCTCAGTCTAGCAATGTGAAAATGGACTAACACAGGAAATTGGTACCAGGAGTGGGGTACTGGTATAAAGATAACCTGAAAATGTGGAAGCAACTTTGGAACTGGGTAATAGGCAGAAGTTGGAACAGTTTGGAGGGCTCAAAAGAAGACAGAAAGATGTGGGAAAGTTTGGAACTTCCTAGAGACTTGTTGAACGCTTTTGACTAAAATGCTGATAGTGATATGGACAATGAAGACCAGGCTGAGGTGGTCTCAGATGGAGATGAGGAACTTTTTGTGAACTGGAGCAAAGGTCAGTCTTGCTATGCTTTAGCAAAGAGACTGGTGGCATTTTGCTCCTGCCCTAGAGATTTGTGGAACTTTGAACTTGAGAGAGATGATTTAGAGTATCTGGTGGAAGAAATTTCTAAGCAGCAAAGTGTTTAAGAGGTGACCTGTTTTTTTCTAGAAGTGTATTCACATATGTGTGAACAAAGAGATTACCTGAAACTGGAAGTTGTTTTTAAAAGGGAAACAAAGCATAGAAATTTGGAAAATTTGCAGCCTGATATGTGGTAGAAAAGAAAAACTCATTTTCTGGGGATAAATTCAAGCCCGCTGCAGAAATTTGCATAAGTAACAAGGAACCAAATATTAATAGCCAAGACAAAGGGGAAAATGTCTCCAGGGCATGTCAAACATCTTCACTGCAGCCCCTCCCATCACAGGGAGGAGTCCTAGGAGGAAAAAAATGGTTTTGTGGGCCAGGCCCAGGGCCCCTGCTGCTGCTCTGTGCAATCTTGGGACTTGGGTCCCTGCTTCCCAGCTGCACCAGCTCCAGCTCTGGCTAAAAGGGCCAAGGTACAGCTTGGGCTGTTGGTTCAGAGGGAGCAAGCCCCAAGCCTTGGTGGCTTTCATGTGGTGTTGGGCCTCTGAGTGCATGGAGGTCAGGAGTTGAGGCTTGGTGGGCTCCACCTAGATTTCAGAGGATGTATGAAAATGCCTGGATGTCCAGGGAGAAGCCTGTGACAGGGGTGGAGCCCTTATGGAGAACATCTACTAGGGCACTGCAGAGGGGAAATGTGGGGTTGAGGCCCCCACAGTGTCCCCACTGGGGCACTGCCCGTTAGACCTGTGAGAAGAGGGCCACCATTCTCCAGACCCAAGAATGGTAAATCCACTGACAGCCTCCACAATGAACCTGGAAAAGCTGCAGGCACTCAATATCAGCCTATGAAAGCAGTTGCAGGGGCTTTACCCTGCAGAGCCACAGGGGTACAGCTGCCCAAGGCCTTGGGAGCCCACCTCTTGCATCTGTGTGCTCCGGATGTGAGATATGGAGCCAAAGGAGATCACTTTGAAGCTTTAGGATTTAATAACTGCCCTGCTGGGTTTCAGACTTGCATGGGACCTGTGGCCCCTTTGTTTTGGCCAATTTTTCCCATTTGGAATGGAAACATTTACCTGATGCCTGTACCCCCATTGTACCTTGGAAGTAACTAACTTGTTTTTGATTTTACAGGCTCAGTGGAAGGAAATTTCCTTGTCTCAGATGAGACTTTAAACTTAGACTTTTGAGTTAATACTGGAATGAGTTAAGACTTTGAGGGACTGCTGGGAGGGCATGATTGTGTTTTGAAATGTGAGAAGGAGATGAAATTTGGGAGGGGCCAGGGATAGAATAACATGGTTTGGCTCTGTGTCCCCACCCAAATCTCATCTCGAATTATAATCCCCATGTGTTGAGGGAGGGATCTGGTGGGAGGTGACTGGATCATGGGAGTGGCTCCCCCATGCTGTTTCATGATAGTGAGTGAGTTCTCATGAGATATGATGGTTTAAAAGTCTGTAGCTCTTCCCCTTTTGCTCTCTCTCCTGCCTCCTTGTGAAGAAGGTACTTGCTTCTCCTTTGCCTTCCATCATGATTACAAGTTTTCTGAGGCTTCCCGAGCCATGCAAAACTCCCAAGTCATGCAAAAAATTACTCAGTCTCAGTCAGTTCTTTATAACAGTGTAAAAATGGACTAATACACAGTGTCATCCTTCTTATGTACCTATGTCCAAATTTCTCTCTTCTTATAAGAATACTAATCATACTGGATTAATGACCTACCTACCTCATCTTAATTTAGCTGATTATACCTGGAATAATCCCATTCCCCCAAAATGTCACATTCTGAGGTGCCATTGGTTAGGACTGCAACACATATGTTTTGGTGACACAATTCAACCCTTAACAGTCTGCCTCTAGTTCCCCTCAATTCATGTCCTTCCCATGTGCAAAATAGATTCAGCTAATTTCAACATCTCCAAAAGTTGTAACCCACTCCAGAATCAACACTATGTCCAAACTTGTCCTAAATATTATAAAATCAAAAATCCTCAAATCTCATCATCTAAATCAGTTATAGCATCTAGATTCATGCTATAAATAATCAATTATAGCATGATTAAGTTGTAACCCACTCCAGAATCAACACTATGTCCAAACTTGTCCTAAATATTATAAAATCAAAAATCCTCAAATCTCATAATCTAAATAAGTTATAGCATCTAGATTCATGCTATAAATAATCAATTATAGCATGATTCATCTTGGGGCAAAATTCCTCACTATCTGTGGACTTGTGAAGCCAGAAAACTAGTAATCTACTTCTAAAATACAATGGTGGGACTGGCAGAGGTTAGACATTTCCGTTTCCAATAGAGAAAATAAGAAAGAAAGAAGTGGGCAGCAGACCTAAACAAGTCCAAAACCCAATAGAGAAAATTTTGTTAGATTTTTAAGGCCTAAGGATAATCTTCTGTGGTTATGTCTTCTGGGTCTGCTGGGGAGACAGCCCTATTCTTTGACACCCTGGGGTGGGGACCCATTTCCTCAGCCCACTGGGGCCGTATTTTAACTCTTTAGGCTATTGTTGTCTCAGCCTATATTATATAAAAAAATGCAAATATTTGTATATAATGTATTATAAACAATATGTATATAATATTATGTATATAATGTAATGTATATAACAATATGTATATAAACAATATGTATATAATGTATATAATATAATATGTATATAATGTATATGTATATTATATATATATATCTGAAATTAACCATTGCAGATCCTAAGCCCTTCATCTTCCCTTAGGTGGTAGATCTCACTGGTAGGTCAATAGGTAGACAGTAATAGGCCTATACCTTCTCAAACACATTGTCACCACTATCTTCCAGGTCAGATAAGCAGATGCGAAGCAATCAACCTAGACCTGAAACACCACTGTATTGGGAACACCGCCGGTTCCCTGCCCTTCCTATATATGGGGCTTTACTGCATGTAGGTATGCCCTGTATTCTGATAATGTACTGGATAGGTCTCAACCAGCTGGATATAACCATAGATTCGAAATGTTGGGAATTTTCCTAGTGCAAGCTTTAATGTTGCTGACTTAAATGCAAATGTGATTCAAGGTCCCACAAATATTGGTGGATACTACAAAAGGGTACAGTATTCTAAGATTGAAGAGAGCTGAGCGGGAGGTCACTGAAGCAGAATATGATCCACCTGAGCCGAATGTAAGGGGAGCATGTTGACAGTACAGTGCCCCAGGGTCTACAGCCTTTTCTGGTTTTAAGCCCATTACCTGACCACTTTATGATTGATGAGCTTTGATTCAAACTGCTTATAGACACAGGCAGAACATGGACCTCTCATATATCAGCAAACTCAGAATGCATTTGTTAGAACCCTGAGTGGGTTGTGGTAATGTTGAACTATTCTGGAATGGTTTTTGGGTCCATCATTTGAGTCTAATTCGCTTCAGGCTAGTTATCATCACCTTAGGACACTTTTGTCGATTCTTCTTCCCTTGGGGAAGATGTGGTCAATGTCTTTTCCTTTTTCTATTAGGAAGAAGCAACACTAGTCATTTATTAACCCAAGTAGGACTTAGTCCTTACCCCCATTGCTTTGGTGCCTTCTTTTAGGATAAATCTTCTTGGCATTTTAACAAAGATATAGTATAGAAGTTATAGAGGACGAATGGACTCCTTTTCTGTAGAGAAATATAGAGAACAAGTAATACTAATTATTATTTTGAGATAAGGCACTTGAAATGGAAGCCTCTGATTTTCCACTACTTAGCAATTCCTTGCAAAAAGCTTTTTGCATCAACCCACAGTACTATTCTCTGCTAAACAGCAATAACTTCCTGGCAAAAAGCCAAAAGCTACCTCTTAGATTTTATTCTCCTGTAATGAGCTTTAAATGAGACTGGGTAGATACCTTTTGATGTAGTTGACCCACTCCCATTATTTTCATCTTTCCTAGGGATGTAAACTGTAACAGAAAAATGTAAAATGTGGTATGGGGTGTAAAAGTGTAGAGGTTTTGTATACAAGTGAAGTTGAGTTGTCATCATCTTAAAATAGGTATACCTATGAGATTTTTTATTTAAGCCTCATGGTAAATACAAAAGAAAGCCTATAGCAGCAACCTACAGAATGGGAGAAAATCTTTGCAATCTACCCATCTGACAAAGGGCTGCTATTCAGATTCTACAAAGAGCTTAAACAAATTTACAAGGAAAAGAAAACCCATCAAAAAGTGGGCAAAGGATATGAACAGACACTTCTCAAAAGAAGACATTTATGCAGCCAACAGACATGAAAAAATGCTCATCATCACTGGTCATCAGAGAAATGCAAATCAAAACCACAATGTGATACCATCTCACAACAGTTATAATGGTGATCCTTAAAAAGTCAGGAAACAACAGATGCTGGAGAGGATGTGGAGAAATAGAAATGCTTTTACACAGTTGGTGGGAGTGTAAATTAGTTCAACCATTGTGGAAGACAGTGTGGCAATTCCTCAAGGATCTAGAACTAGAAATACCATTTGACCCAGCAATCCCACTACTGGGTATACACCCAAAGGATTATAAATCATGCTACTATAAAGACACATGCACATGTATGTTTATTGTGGCACTATTCACAATAGCAAAGACTTGGAACCAACCCAAATGTCCATCAATGATAGACTGGATTAAGAAAATGTGGCACATATACACCATGGAATACTATGCAGCCATAAAAAAGGATGAGTTCATGTCCTTTGCTGGGACATGGATGAAGCTGGAAACCATCATTCTCAGCAAACTATCACAAGGACAGAAAACCAAACACCTCATGTTCTCACTCATCAGTGGGAGTTGAACAATGAGAACACATGGGCATAGGGTGGGGAACATCACACACTGGGGCCTGTTGGGGGGTGGGGGGCTGTGGGAGGGATAGCATTAAGAGATATACCTAATGTAAATGATGAGTTGATGGCTGCAGCAAACCAACATGCCACGTGTGTACCTATGTAACAAACTTTCACGTTGTGCACATGTGCCCTAGAACTTAAAGTATAATAATAAAAAACCAAAAGACCAAAAAAAAAAAAAAAAAAAACAACAAAACAAAAAAAAGAAAGCCTATAGCAGATATGAAAAAGATAAAAAAATCAAAGCATATCACTACAAAAATTCAACAAATCACAAAGGAAGCCAGCAAGATTGGAAGAACAAAGGAACTACAAAATAGTCAGTAAACAAATACCGAAATGGCAATACTAAGTCTTCATTTGTCAAACATTACCTTAAATGTAAATAGATTAAATTCTCCAATCAAAAGACAGAATGGTTGAATGAATGAACAAATAAGACCCAACTCTATGGAACCTATAAGAGACTCACTTCACTTTTCAATACACACTTAGACTAAAAGTGAAGGGATGGAAAAAGATATTCCATACAAAGGGAAACCAGAGCATGCATAGCTACCTTACATGTGTCAAGATAGACTTTAAGTAAAAAACCATAAAAAGAGACAAAGTAATTATGTAATGATAAAGGGGTCAATTCATCAAAAGGACATAACAATTGTAAATATATATGCACTCAACATTGGAGAACCATATAAATGTGTGCATATATATAATATTAATAGATATGAAAGGAGCAATAAACTGCACTTCAATAATAGTAGGCAACTTCAATATCCCACTTTCAGCAATGGACAGATCATCCAGACAGAAAATCATTAAGGAAATCCTGGACTTGAACTAAACTGTAGACCTAATAGACCTAATATACAAATATAGAACATTTCATCCAGTAGCAGCAGAATACACATTCTTCCCAAGTGCTCATGGAGCATTCTCCAGGATACATCATATATTAGGCTCCTCTCAAACAAGTTGTATTAGTCCATTTTGCGCTGTAATAGAATACCACAGACTGTGTAATTTATTGGCTTGAAGTTTTGGAAGCTGGGAAGTCTAAGATGGAGGAACTGGCATCTGGCAAGGGTCTTACTGTTGTGTCATCTCATGGTGGAAGGGCAAAGAGATGGTGAGAGATAGAGAGGCAAAAGAGGACCAAACTCTCCCTTTTGTAATGAACCGATTCCCTCAATGACAAACCCACTCCAGTGATAAAGGCATTAATCCATTCATGAGAGCAGAGACATCATGGATGAATCACTCTTAAAGGTCTTGCCTCTTAATATTGATATAATGGCAAGTAAATTTCAGCATGATTTGGGAGGGGACAAACTTTCAAACCATAGCATTTATCCCATAGCCCCCCAAAACATATGTCCTCACATAAAAAATGCAGTCATCCTATCCCTAGAGACCCCAAATCTTAACTTGTTCCAGAACAGCTCAAAAGTCAAAAGTCCAGAGTATCATCTAAATCAGATATAGGCATGAGATTCAAGGCATGATTCATCCTGAGGTAAGTTTCCCTCCAGCTATGAGCCTGTGAAGTCGAATAAGTTTTGTGCTTCCAAAATACAATGGTGTGACAGGCATAGGATAGACATTTTCATTCTAAAAGGGAGAAATAGCAACAAAGAAAAACTCAACTGGGTAAAGAATGTTAAATATCAAGTCTACAGAATAATTTTGCTTGACTCCATGTTCCACCTCCTGAACACATTGGCATCCAGATAGGAAATGAACCCTATATATAGGAAACCCCATAGACATGATGACATGATCCTATATATAGAAAATCCAATAGATTCCACCAAAAAACTATTAAAACTAATTAACTAATTCAGTAAGATATCAAGGTTAAAAACCAACACGTGGCTGGGCGTGGTGGCTCATGTCTATGATCCCAGCACTTTGGGAGGCCAAGGCAGGTGAATCACTTGAGGTCAGGAATTCGAGACCAGCCTGGCCAACATGGTGAAACCTTGCCTCTACTAAAAATACAAAAATTAGCTGGGCATAGTGGCACACATCTGTAATCCCAGCTACTCAGGAGGCTGAGGTATAAGGATCACTTGAAACTGGGAGGTAGAGGTTGCAGTGAGCCAAGATCATGCCACTGCATTCCAGCCTGGGTGACAGAACAAGTCTCCATTAAAAAAAAAAAAAAGAAGAAGAAAAGAAAAAATAAACATGCAAGAATCAGAAGGTTTTCTTTGTACTAACAATGAACTATCCAAAAAATAAATTAAGGCAACAAACCCAGTTACAGTAGTATAAAAAGTATGTAGAAACAAATTTAACCAAGGAGTTAAAAGATTTATATACTGAAAACTACAAACCATTGATAAAAGGAATTGAAGAAAACACAAATAAATGAAAACATATTTCATCTTCATGGATTGGATGAGTTAATGTTGTTGAAATATCCATACTACCAAAATCAGTCTATGGATTCAATGCAATCTCTATCAAAATTCAATCTATTTCTCAAAGAAATAGAGAAAAAATCTGAAATTTGTATGGAATCACAAAAGACCCCAAATGGCCAAAGCAATCTTGAGCAAAATAAGCAAAGCTGAAGTCATCACACTACATGATCTTGAAATATATTACAAAGCTATAATAATCAAAACAACATGGTATTGCCATGAAAACAGACACAGTGACCAATGGAACAGACTGAAGAACTCAGAAATAAACCTGCACATTTATGGTCAACCGATTTTTGGCAAAGATGCCAAAAGCACACAATGGAGAACGGACAGCCTCTTCAATAAATGGTGTTGAGACAACTGGGTATCCACATGCAGAATAATGAAATTGGACCCTTTTCTCACACCATATACAAAAATCAACTCAAAATGCATTAAAGACCGCTCTGCTTATCCTTTACTTCCTACTTGTACAGAGTCTGAACATTATCTGAAGGTGAGACCTTAGGATGTTTTCAGGTCTTTTCTGAGCATGTATCTAGCCCAGGGCATGTCTGTGGTCCTCTAGATTATCAGAAATATGTGGGAGTTTGTTACTCAAAGCATCTCATTCCCTGGCCTTTTCTCCCAAACTTTTAAGTTAGTCTATTATTTGCCCCAACCATTATTCCTTGCCTCGGAGATCAATGACTATTATGTTTTTTCCTTTACATGTTTTTGACAAATGCCACTGCTTACCTGAGCTCTGGGATAGTTCTGTTTTAGGCGAGGTAAAGGCAGGTTCTCTGAGCAGTTTCTCTATGGAACCACCAGGCAGATCTAACAAGCAGCTGCAGTTCTTTGAGGATAAGATTTGCTTTGCTCTCTCTGTTACTGGGTACCTATACAGAGAATGAAGGCTGTTTTATTCAAGGGCACTGACGAGCTGGGGAGTGGGAAATGAGACTAGGATAAATTAAAATGTCACAAAAATCTGTTTCCAACATTTACTTGTGTTTTCTTGATCAAGCATTCCTTGGTTGCTGCAAGTTTTGGTTAGTTTTCAGAGTTGTGAGAATGTTGCTTCTGAAAGTTTTTTCCAGTTTGTTAATTGCTTGGTGTTCCCCACTGTGCCATTTTCACTAATATCACCTCTAACCATGTTGTTTTAGATTGCTTTCACTGACATAAGTCTTATATCTTAGGAATGAGTCTGTTGGGTTCCCACATGCTCACTCCATTGGACCTCTTCTCTAACCTTCTCCATGAGCTTTCCATATTCTGCACTTGGCTTTTGTCCCATTCCTAATTTAAACTTCTATTTCTCAGTGGAATTAAAATGGTGCCTAGAAATCCAATTGAAGTATCGTTAATATATATATCATTAATATATATATATCGTTAATATAACTGAAGTATCTTGAATACCTCACTGTTCCCTTCCAACTTCCTCCCCTTTAGTCTTCCCCCAAAGCCAGTCCAACCCAGCTGAACCAAATCAATCAACCCATTAAAACATGGAAAACTCCAAATCCAAATCTATTACTATATTGAAGGGCGGGTGTAGAGATAGAAACGGTAGACAAAGATCACTGGCTGAGTTTGCAAGGAGCTCATTTTTTGCTTGGACTATTATGAAGACTTCTTACTTGGTCATCTGTCCTCTAATATTCATTATTCGTTTCATTGCTCCTTCAGCCTATTCCCCACATCTCAGCCACAGCAATTCTTCATATATCATCATATCATTTAAGAGGCTCCCTACTGACTTTAGAATAGTCTGCAAACATACAAGAGCCTTTCACGATGTGCCCTCTAGCTTCTTTTCCAGGCTAATTTATCAAACCACACTCCAGCCATTTCTGATCAGTTTCAGTTCCACCAATAAGTCATATTTTTTGTATGTTTCGTCATATTCATCTCTGTAACTGTAGATTCTAAGCACTATGCATGGTACTTTTTTTTTTTTGGAGCTCAGTGACTGTCAAATAAATGTATAAGTACAACGAAGTTTCTATGTGTTCCTGCAGTTTGCAAACAACTAAACTGGCTGGATTTCATTTCATGCTATTTGAGGTCTTAGTATATGAGCTCATGGCATTCATAAAATTAGTATTAATAGATAATTTTAAAAAGTGTCTAGTACGTAACATTGTGCAATAAATGTAGCCATGATTGTAGTTTTATTATTACTGTCCTAAAGAGCAAGCTGAAACTCCAAATTTGAATGGTAAGTCTGGAATGGAACGACTTAAAATCTAGGCTATGTGAATACACAAAATTCACTTTAGGGACCCTGCTGAACGTCTCAAGGTGATAAACAGAGATCTTTTAAAATAACTGACAGTCTCAAGAGGATATCTTATGGCCACCTCAGCCATTAGGAAGAGAAGGGAAAACCAACAGTGGTTTCAAACAAGAGCTCAAATTGGGCAGATGCTGAGAACTGCAGGCCTTGGTTTTTCATGGCAACTCACAAGGCCAAATCCCCCCGCTGGGGTTTACTTAAATGGATGGAAGATTCTTTCAGGCAATGCCAGGTAAGCCTCCTAGACGCCTGTATCGTGCAGAAATGCGTAGGACAAGAGTGGATCGTCTCAACTATACGATGGTTGCTAGTAAAACATTCCTGGCGATGGGAGAACCCAGGACTAGGGAGTCGCGAATGGTAACCAGGTCAGGGCTTCGGGCACTCGCGTCACGCTCTTAGCACAGGGACAGTGGGGCGTGGTTCTGCAGGCAGCGCCCTCAGCTGGGGGGCCTGGCAACCCCGGGAGCCCGGTGAGTGCTTCCTCGGTGGCGCCCTTCATCCCCCCTCACGGGGTTCTAACGCCCAAAAGCGCGGCTGTGCTAGAGACCCGCGCGGACACATGAGGCGCGGTGGGGCTCCCGTGGCTCCGCGGAGCCTGCAGGCTCCCAAGACGAGGGTGGGGTAGGGGCTGATAACGATGCCGCCCTTTCCTGGCTGTGTGGGCTTTATCCTCTGTCCTTGGGCCTGGCACGCCCAGGGGGAAGAGGCTGTGCTTGACGTGTCAGCAGGCTGATCACGTGGCGGCCCCACTACTAACCCCAGAGATACCCCCGCTTAGAAGCAGCAACATTGTCAGAAGCTCCTTGCCACTAAGAATCCTCTGCAAGATGTGGTGGATACAGCACTGCACTTAACTCCTTCGGTCCTCAGTTTATTCTGTAGAGTGGAGATGATACCTGCTTAGGTACTGGGCAAGCTCGAACTCATGCTATAGAATTTTGAAGACCAAAGCTGCTATACAAATATAGTCTATTGCTATAATTAGGTAATTTTGTTTCACTTTATTTTATCTAAGTAAAAAAAAAAAACAAAACAAAAAAAAATGGGCCAACTATTTAGAATCGTCCCATAGGTGGGTTTCATGAGGGCAGATACCCTGTCTGACTTCCTTCCCCCCGTGCTTAGCTTATTCATCCCTCTCTCTCCTCTAATGCTGGCAATCAACTCTCAGCAGTGTATAGCACTGTGTCTGGCACACAGTGAGAACGAGTGAATGAATGGATGAAGTGTAGAGCCAAAGGCTCCTTTGCTTATCAAACACCCTGATTCCCATATTAGAATGTGATCCATTCCGTGCTGCAGGGCATGCTATGTGACTAATCTAAGATGGGCACATCCAAAAATCCTTCTTTGGAATCTAATAGTCTAATGGGGGTACAGCTTTAGACCCTGCAAGTTCTTAGATAACCTAGGGTTGATGCAGAGGAGAGCGAATTGACTACATACAGATTCTTTTGGGGTGGGATAGTATCCCTAATTCATAATGTTCCAAAAAAAGAAAGTAAAGGACAAAAAGAATGCATGTAGGTAAAGCACTTACCTCACACCCAACAAATGCCCAACAAATGGTGCATAAATGTATATTTTTATTATGATACTGAAGAATCGTATGTGTAAAACTTGCAAGTCCAGATTCTGAGAAAATCACAGCAGCATGGAATCCTAGTATAATAAAAGCAGCACAGTATCCTAATATGAAACATAAGACAACCTCCTACTTACTGTTTTCATCTCTGTGCTATTAGTCTGTTTGCAAAAGAGTTATAGGATTGCACCAATCTGTATTGGCAGAAGTCTGGGGATCATGTTTTGGAGGGGATTCTAATTTCATTCCCATTGTCACTGATAGTTAAATGCCATCACTAGCCATCTGCCACTTTGGAATCCCATAATTCCCCGTTATGAGGATACTTGATTCCATTGCTGTACCACCCACTGTCATCTCTGGCTTACAAAATAGAGCCACCACAAAGTTCTTCAGTATGCCACTAAACTGTCACCAGTATATGTCTTAATGCTCTGTGAAGACAGTGCCCTCTGGAACTTCTTAGAGAATATCACTGGGGTATGTTGCATATAAAAGATTCATTCTAAGATCCCCATTTCTTGGAATCTTTAAGCTCCTTCTAAAATATGCAAGGGAAGTTCGAATGTCATGTTAGATGACATTAACTGCAAGCCTGGCTCCAGTTAGTAACCAACAAGCTATTAAGTTGTTTCCAGGTACTTGAGCTAACAGGTTAAATTTTAAACACTGGATAACTACACCTTTGACAACGAGTTTTGATCTAATATTTCTAGAAAGTTTCCCAGACTCTTGCCAAAACAGATTTATGCAGTCTAAAGAAGACTTTTTAACTCGGTGAAAATGATAAATGAAACCTACACTAAATCTTATGCAATATAGGTGTGTTAGTCAGTTTGGGTTGGTACAACAAAGTACCATGAATTGGATGGCTTATAAACAACAGAAACTTATTTCTCACGGTTCTGGATGGTGTCAGCATGGATGAATTCTGGTGAGGGCCCTCTTCCAGGTTGCTGACTGCCAACTTCTTGTTGTATTCTCACACAGTGAAGTGAGAGCCAGTGAACTTTTTGGCCTTTTCTTATGAGGCCACTAATCCTATCCCATGAGCATAGGATCCTATCCATGAGGGCTTCATCCTCATGGCCTGATCACTTCCCAGAGGCCTCACTTTCAAATACCATCACTTTAGGGGTTAGATTTCAACATATGAATTTTGGGTAGACACATTGGGTCCATAACATGAGATTCATTCTCTTTAAGACAGGAAGAAACCTGAGATGCCTTCTATTACTGTTACTATTTATCATTAAACTGGCCAATGCTGAAAGAAAATAGTAATAAATAGTGAAAGGTTTGGAAAGTAGGTAGTAAAGTGATATGAACAATATGATCACTTATTTTGAAAGTTCAGTAGTGTCTGCCAAAAAACTACTAAAACTAAGAAGATAGTCTATCTAGGTTTTCAAATCCAAAATCAACCCACAAAAGCCATTATCAGTTTTTCGACACCAGTGGTAACCAACTACAAAATGTAATGAGTAAGAAAACATCCATAATAGCAAAAACTATAAATTATCCAGGGATTAATTTAACCAAGTATATATAAAACCTTTGTGAAGGAAACTTTAAAAGTCTAATAGTGGAAGATGATCTGAATGAATGGAGAGACAGTCCACGCTCTTGGATGGACATCAGTATTATAATGATGTCAATTCTCCCCAAATTAATGTATTAATTCTGTGAAAAATTTAAGTTGAATTTTTTGAGAAACTTGATAAACTCTAAAATTTTAAGGAATAAATGTTTGTGAATACTAAGTTAACCTTAAAAAAGAAGGACATAGAAGGGTCAGATTGTTCTATACATTATTAAGATATATATGTGGGAAAGATAACAAAACTTCATGGCAAGAGATGAATTGTTTAGCAGATATTATTGAGAAAACCATTTTGCTAACTAGAGATAAATAAACGTAGATTACTACTTATCATCACATATAAACTGGATTGTAGATGGATGGGGGCTCTAAATATAGAAGGTAAAACTGAAGTTAATAGGAAGAAATGTAGCAGAATACCATGTGTAATAAGCATATGCAAGGATTCTGAAAAACTTTAAAATTAGTAACCATGTGGCAAATAATTTGTTAATTTGATTTCATTAACAAGAACTAACATTTTAACAATCACATAAATATATGATCATAATTATCGATAATCACAGAGATTCAGATTGAAAAGTAATGAGATATAAAAGTATAATACTTTATACTCATTAGCCTGTCAAAAGCTGGATAGTTCTGTTAAAAGATGTGGGTTTTGGGATTGCTTATGCTTTGCTTGGTAGGAATACATACTGTAGCAGCCGTTCTGGAATATCTATTTATTTAGTATTTAAGTAAACTAAATAGATGTAAACTATTTAATCCATAATTGTACTCAGAGATAATTTTCTATATGAGATGCATGCATTCATTGCAGGTTTGTTCAAGGGATCAGGGAATTGGAGGCTATCTAGGTGTTCATCATTTAGAAGGCAGATAGGTAAAGGTGTGTTTTATGAAGTATTATGCGACATTTAACGTTAACAGGTTTGATATACTATTGGCAGCCTGGATGAATTATAAAAGTGTGGTGGCAACTAAGAGAAGGACATGTGTTTATGCACTGACACACATGTGCACAGACACTATACCATCCACATGATTTAAATATATGTACACAAAAGAACATTATCTATTAAAAAATAGAAAAAAACCCACACATTAGATGAAAATGTTAGAAAGATGGCAGAAGAGGACACTTCGGGAATTATCCCCTCATAGAGACACAGATTTTGGCTAAACACTCATGATTGAGAATATATTGTGGGACCCCCAGAGCCTAGCTGAGATTTCAGCACCTCAGTGGAGCAAACAATCTGAGAATAGGTACATTGAAGAGGGTAAGAAAAGTTTTACTTTACCTGCATCACCCCTTCCCCAGGGCAGCATAGCTCCTTGCCAAGAAAGGCCTCTTAGGCCAGTCTTCATGGGGGAAAGTGAGAATGGAGCGAGTGTCGGCTTCCCCAGCATTGTGAGATAGATGCTGTCTAGGACTCCACTTCCGTGTTACTCTACCTGAACCCTGAGGGGACTGGCAGTGTGAATCATCTGGAGATAGGTAGGAGCAGAGAAAAGGGGAAGGAGTACACAGAATTGGTGGTGTGGTTCTCAAGAGGTAGTGGCAGATCCTGCTAACCAGCTCTTGAACTCCACCAAGAGACCTGACCATAAACCCTGCAGAATGGCTTGTCAGAGGGCTTCCCAAATAGCCAACACATTCTCCTAGCATTCTCCTAGCACCCTGGGAACCCTACCTTGAATAGTACCACACACATTCCCATGCACAGCGCAGAATGGACTCCCACAGACAGCACTTGGATCTCAACGCAGCTGTGGATCTTAGAAACTGGCTTGACACTTTTATGTATTAATCATATAAAGTAGCTTAAAATTAGAAAGTGGTTTTAAAAAACCATTTATATTAAATACAAAGGAATGGTTCCTCATGAGGGGAGATATTTGAGAGTGTAGAGATAAAGGAAATAAAAATAGAGTAGAGATTTAACAGATCTGATGAGATAATCTCAGTAAAATGTTTCATAAAATTCATATTGTGAAAAAAACTATACAGTATCATTATTTGTAGCTAGGACATTAGGCATAAGGAATGCTATAATTCTTTGGAAACTGGACCTTCTGGAAAACTGAAGGCTGCACTGTTGTTAAAACATTTCATGTTAACCTAGTGGGCGTTAGTGTATGCAGTAACAACTTAATAAGAATATGTATAATTGAAATATGCCTTCTCTCTAATGGCAAGTTATGCAAATTTCAAGTGTTCATTGAGGAGAAATTACTCAGAAATAATGTATTTAGAGTACAGTATGTTTAGAACTATTATTGGTCTAGAGAAGATTATCTAGGCTATGGGGTGCTTATACTTCATGCTAATTTTACTCTTAATAATGACATAATGATTTCCTTGAGCCAGCATTTAAAATATTACCCTATCAACCTATGCTTCCTCCTTGCGTCCATCTTGCTTATTATGCTTACTTTGGAGAATCTGTCACCACTCCTGCAAGTTTTCTTGGGTGAAATAATTCCCTAACTCAAGACAACACGATCCAACTGAGAATGCTCAGTATCTCCATACAGAAAATATAACCAGAGTTATGTATTCTAATTTTTTTTTTTTTTTTTTTTTTTTTTTGAGACGGAGTCTCGCTCTGTCGCCCAGGCTGGAGTGCAGTGGCGCGATCTCGGCTCACTGCAAGCTCCGCCTCCCGGGTTCACGCCATTCTCCTGCCTCAGCCTCCCGAGTAATTGGGACTGCAGGCGCCCGCCACCACGCCTGGCTAATTGTTTGTATTTTTAGTACAAACGGGGTTTCACCGTGTTAGCCAGGATGGTCTCGATCTCCTGACCTCGTGATCCACCTGCCTCGGCCTCCCAAAGTGCTGGGATTACAGGCGCGAGCCACCGCACCCGGCCATGTGTTCTAATTTTTAATTATAGAATGGGGGAAAGAAACTTTGAGACAAACTTCACTGTATGTTTTCTAGAAAGTCACTTGAACAAAATGACCATTTATTCACCATTAAACCTTTTCATCCCAGCCTGAGGTCATGACCGAAATGATTCATTCACCATGAAACTTTTTCATCCTGCACTGAGGTTATGATGATTTTGTTCTTTAATATGTAAGAAAGAGTCCCCTTGTGCCAATGAACCTGAGATAAGTTAAGTATTAGAAGCTGATCATTAATATATCCTGAGTGGTCTTATTCTAAATCATTGAAGTATCCTAATAAATGACTCTCCAAATTCTTCCCAATTAAATTCCTTTTCTGAATTAGACCTGATAGGTGATTCAAAGACACAACTTGCAAGTATTCAGAGGAAGGATGCAATCATATGAAAATAAACACTCCTGGCCGGGCGCGGTGGCTCACACCTGCAATCCCAGCGCTTTGGGAGGCCGAGGCAGGCGGATCACGAGGTCAGGAGATTGAGACCATTCTGGCTAACACGGTGAAACCCCATCTCTACTAAAAATACAAAAAATTAGCCGGGCATGGTGTCGGGTGCCTGTAGTCCCAGCTACTCGGGAGGCTGAGGCAGGAGAATGGCGTGAACCCGGGAGGCGGAGCCTGCAGTGAGCCAAGATCGCGCCACTGCACTCCAGCCTGGGCGACAGAGCGAGACTCCATCTCAAAAATATATAAATAAATATATAATAAATAGACACTCCTTTTCTCCATATATTCTCTTCTCTACTTTTTCAGCTTATTCTTTAATAAGAATATTAATTCCTACTTGGACTCTGAGAGACCCTAAGCCTTTTCTTGAGTCATCTATTTCATGTTTCTCTGGGCACATGAATCAAATCTGAAAAACTGATGAGTGAGGACTGTCTGTGTCAGACTACAAAATTTTGGGTGGTCATTTTGGAAGGGATGTTAACGGGATTATTCTCACCATTCAGTTTTTTTTTTTTTTTTTTTTTTTACCCCTAGGAAAGGGCACATATGCTTTTGATGTTTTCGTTTTAGATTAGAAATGAACGGCCATGCATTATAAACACTAAAAATCTAAAGAGAACATACATGAGTATTTAGTTTCAAGTTAAATTAATAAAATTAAACCGTTAAGAGTGTAGTGCTATGCTTGATATTTACTATGTGATGAAAGAATTTAGAATAAATGGAAGGTGATTTATTAATGTCATTATAGTTAACATGAGGTTGTATTTTATCCAGTGTTATTTGTGTGGTATAACTGTAAACAATATACAAAACATAATTTAACATTAACAAATTTCTTGATAACTCTCTTCTCTGGTTTCCCAACTTTCCATTTTCTGTTGGTTTTCCCTTTCCAGGAGGCCAACTCTCTTCAGGTCCTGCAGAAGAGGGTCAAGACTTAGGAACCCAGAGCCTGGAATTTGCTTGCAGACATCCATAGTTTTTTGTTTTGTAGAGGTTTGTTTTGCTTTTAGCTACAACCATGATTTCAGTTTTTAATTGTTTGTGTGCCTTTTCTTATGACTTGGGCTACTTTACCACTTGGCTACTACTTCCTATAATTTCACAAACCTGACCTTTTACCCAAGTCTTGATCTGATATTCTTATAACATTTAGGTCATTGTACCATTATGTCCCTTGAGTTTTTCAGCTGAGATTCTTTAGTCACTCACCTCCTCCAATGCTGTGTTTCAGGCTTGTCAAACTCCTCCCTCTTACACTTTCCTCTCATTATGAGGATTTCTAAATTAATTATTTCCACGTTCTTGGGCTAGAACTCAGCTATTTCCCCCCTTTTCCTTGGTGTTGTGAGGCTTCATCATTATTTACATAGCCAGAATATTTTCTTTTCTTAAAACACATGGATTGCATTTTATTCCAGAGAATATGGAGCTTTGAGAACCAGATCTCTTGGTCACTGGTGGCTTTTAAATTAAGTTACCTAAATCTTTCTCTTCGAAACTGACAGTTTTTCCAATCATATGGCAAATGTCCATTTGAGAAGTGTTCCTTTATTTCAGGTTACTTTAATACATAACCCATCATGTACATGTTGAAGGTCCAGGGTAGGGTTTGGAAAATGCAGAGTAACTGGGGGTTTACTCCTTCTATTCCAGCCTGATCCACAGCTATGACCCGATGTTCTTTTGTATTTCTCTCACTTCCTCATACTATTTGGATTCTTCATTTTCATTCCTTCTCTCCTATCAGATTTAAGGTTAATTCACTTTCAGGCAGTTGTGGATGAGTTTGAATGTCAAGGCTGCTGTTTGCCTATTTCGAGGAGATGCTTGGAGAAGAGAAATACATTATTTCTGTATCGCTGGTGTCATCTAAGACCAGCCGTGTCTGACAGTAGGACGTGTTCTCTTCTCCCAACATGTTTTATCTTCCTTCTGCTCCAAGGATCCCAGATGCCAAGGACCTAAACTTTATTTGTTAATTATAAGTCACAGACCTAGTGGACTGATCTCCATGCAATTATCCTTCAAATGAAATAGACCTGAGCCAGAAAATGATACATCTCCTACTATATTTTCTCATGGGGATGTGGACACACACCCCTTTGATGCTAAAAGTGTGTCTAGGAGAATTGTTTATCTTCATTTGTACACAGATAAATTTAGTCCAGTCAGCTTCAGCTCATATTCAGTGTTTAGTGGAAGCACTAAGTAGAAAAAGCTTCTACAGAAATCTTAATCCCTTAGCATGGGTTCATAACAGACTACTACTTCCTAATTAGTCAGAGAAATGAAATACTCACATTACATGGTATTGTTGCCATGATTATTTGCTTTTTTTATCCATCCGGTCACTGTATTTGCAAAGACCAACTCCAAGGTGGAGAATATCCACAAATACATTGAAAGCATGATTCCACTTTTCTAAATAAAAAAGAAGAAAATCTATATTCCTCAGAGATCTTCACATTTCTAAAATTTCTAGCAACATATAGATAACATAAAATTGTAATAAATGTAGAAAACAGAAAACTCATCTGTAATACTAGTACCACAACCTTAATACAATGTGATGATTTTGTCTGTATATAAGATAATACTGTAGTAACAAACACTTGTTGAGCACTTATTAGATGGTTAGGAATTTGTGTGAAATGCTTCATATGCATTATTTCATTGGGTTCACTCAATCCTTTGTGGTAGGTAGCATTATTATTCTCACCTTAGAGTAGAAGAAAATGAGACTTGGGTAAGTTAAAACAGCAAAATTAGTACTACTGGATGTTGGAGTTGTTTAGAACTTGGTTCTAGCCCCCTTTTCTTCGCTTACTCTACTCTCTCTCGGGTGACTTCCATCCTAGTTCTGGCAGACTTATAAGATTGTAATTTCTGTTTTCTCATTTATGTATTTCTATAACATTGTTATAGTTGAAAATAGAACACTTTTGCACTGTTGGTGGGACTGTAAACTAGTTCAACCATTGTGGGAGACAGTGTGGCGATTCCTCAAGGATCTAGAAGTAGAAATATCATTTGACCCAGCCATCCCATTACTGGGTATATACCCAAAGGATTATAAATCATGCTGCTGTAAAGACACATGGACACGTATGTTTATTGTGGCACTATTCACAATAGCAAAGACTTGGAACCAACCCAAATGTCCATCCATGACAGACTGGATTAAGAAAATGTGGCACATATACACCATGGAATACTATGCAGCCATGAAAAATGATGAGTTCATGTCCTTTGCAGGGACATGGATTCAGCTGGAAACCATCATTCTCGCAAACTATTGCAAGAACAGAAAACCAAATACCGCATGTTCTCACTCATAGGTGGGAATTGAACAATGAGAACACTTGGACACAGGAAGGGGAACATTACACACCAGGGCCTGTTATGGGATGGGGGGAGGGATAGCATTAGAAGATATACCTAATGTAAATGGCGAGTTAATGGGTGCAGCACACCAACATGGCACACGTATACATATGTAACAAACCTGCACGTTGTGCACATGTACCCTAGAACATAAAGTATAATAATAAAGAAAATAGCGTTTCTCATTTTTTCATTAAAATTATGCCATAAGAAGTTTATATGTATGTAGAATCTTAATACTTAATATTTATAGAATATTTAAGTGGAAATACAATATTTAAGTTTAATATTTAAGTATAATATTTAAGTTTGTTACATATTTTGGTTCATCCAAGGTTTTCTATCTTTTGATTAAAATGGATTTCAAAAAAGCTGTTTTATGGTAAATACTGCCAAAATGCTTTCCACATGCATTTCTCTAGCTCACTCTGTTAGTATCAACATTTGAGAAGACTATTTACGGCTTTCTTTTCATTTTCTTCCATTTCAAATTGGAACAAATGATATGAATTTATTGTACTATGAATATGTTGATATTGTTTGGCTGTGCCCGGACTCAAACTGCTACTTGAATTTTATCTCCCAGAATTCCCACATGTTGTGGGAGGGACCCAGTGGAAGGTAATTGAATCATGGGGGCCAGCCTTTCCAGTGCTATTCTTGTGATAGTGATTAAGTCTCACGAGATCTAATGGGCTTATCGGGGGTTTCCGCTTTTGCTTTTTCCTCATTCTTTCTTGCCACTGCCATGTAAGAAGTGCTTTTTGCCCTCTGCCATGATTGTGAGAACTTCCCCAGTCACGTGGAACTGTAAGTCCAATTAAACCTATTTTTCTTCCTAGTTTTGGGTATGTCTTTATCAGCAGTGTGAAAATGGACTAATACATATGTTATAGTCATAGCATATGTATATTATATTCATAGCATAGAATATACTATATGTATAAAATTCTAATAATTTCTAATAAAACTCCTTTCTAATAAACTCCTTCAAGGAGTTTATTTTCATGAGTCTATCTAATGATGCAATGTCTACTATACTGAACTCTACATGAGCAAATGGTTTTAGAGTAAAGTACTATTACAGGAATCTTTTTATCCATGATGGACTGAAAGATTTCTGCCTAATAGGTAATTTAATCACATTATATGTTATATTCTATACTATGAATATAGTATTACATATTATAGTATTATATATTATATTAACTATAACAGTATATATTATACTATAATATATTAACTATAACAGTATATATTATACTATAATATATATTATATTAACTATAATAGTATTATATATTATACTATTATATATTATACTAACTATAATAGTATTATATATTATACTATAATATATATTATATTAACTATAATAGTATAATATATATAATGTAATCTATTCATATTGTATCTAGTTATATTGTATAATCACTAATAATACATCCATTTAGTATAATCACATTAATAGATTATACTAAATGGATGTATTATAATCTATTAATATTAATTATAATATGGTCATATGAATACATTATATTAAATGACCGTATAATTAATGATTATACATTATGACTAGATTGAATAGGAATAGATTATACTAAATGAATTTATTATAATGAGTGGTTCTTATGAGACTCTTTCATGTGAACATGACTGAGGAATAGGGTGAGCAGAAATTGCTCTTCTGACTATTGGTAATAAAGATCTGACAGACAGTGAGATAAAAATGATCGTATTTGGTCTCTCTTGAATCTTAAATGATATTCTAGTAATTGGAATGCCTTTCAAAAGAGCTTCAGGCATACTTTACTTAGAGGAGAGGACAGACGTCTTCCTAAATGCTAATGACATTATTTAATTGTCACAAAGTAGGAGTGGCCACCAGAGACAATTGATCATGTTAAATAATAATTTCCAGTAAAAATATTTGATACCAATTATTTTAAAGCAAGAAAATTAATTTGGATAAATATTTCTTAATTTCATTGTTTTTATCTAATAATGTCATATATTTTCTAAGTTTCAATTTCTTTGGTTATTTTTATTAATCTTATAAATAATTTTTCTAATGAGATAACTATGAAGTTATAATCCTTGAATCCAGGTTTTTTTTCCAAGAGTGTTATTAAGTCATTCTTTAAGGTTGGTTTGGGTGACATACTTTTCACCAAAATATTCCAGTCAATACATTTAAAAACATGATTTGTGGCATAAAATATGGGAAACCTGATTTATGTGCTAGAATGGATTAAGAAAAGTCCCAGTTGTAATAATAACTATGTCAGAATGAATGAGAGCTCATCTACTGAAAACCTTACTTTTCAAATTCTATTAAAGAACATAAATCTGCTTATTTACTACCTGCTTGCTTAATTTTTACAAGTCTAATGTGATTACAAATATCTTCAGGTTCTAATCATTCCAGAATAATATACACCTGAAAACGGTCTGATACTCAATTCTTATCATGGATCCATGATTTATTTATGAAATAGTTTGAAGTATGTAATCTCATGAACTCACCACCTCTCGAGCTTTTATCTCTTGATCAAAGCAGGTCATTAGGAAGCAACCATTGTTAGTTCACAATTTCTTGACTCTAAAGTTTCCCCAGAATTTCCTTAGAAGTTTTTTTTTTTTTTTTTTTTTTAAATAAGAAATAGCTTTTTGGAAGCTACTCTAGCCTTTTCTGTAGGAATGTTCACATATAAATTAGTGCCTCTTTTGTGCCAAGTCCTGTTCTAAGATGCTGGGGATGTAGCAGTATCTGAAGCAGACAAGATCATAGCCTTCAAGGAGTTTATTTTTGCTGATCTACCTCATGACACAATGTCCATTATACTGAACTATACATGAATAAATGGTTGTAAAGTACTATTACAGGAATCATTTTATCCATAATGAACTGAAACCTTTCTGCCTAATAGATAATTTATTCACATGATGATTGAATTTCATTTTCACTTTGCCTATCAGGAAACTTAGTGCAAAAACTGTGAGTCAATATTGGTAATTCATAGTATTCTAAAACCTATATATCTACATTATTATTTTCCTCTTGATTTCACAAGGAGCATATTCCAAATTACAAATATTGGAATAGTCTAATACATTGGATTGGATCATACAATACTGACAATTTGTAGATTAAAAATGGTCTGATATCAGCAATTTCAAATGGTTCCACCTAATACAAGGGGTCTTCAAAAAGTTTATGGGAAATGCATACTATGGAAAAACTATGCACGGATTTCAAAAACTTTTTGCACCAAAATAAATTCACACTAAGTTGTCATAACATGTCTTAACAGGATTTACTTTGAGGCACTTAGAAGGATAAGAAGTCAGTTTGAAAAGAGCCCCTACCAGAGAAACATGAATTCTGCTAAAATTGAAGAAAGAACAAACATGAAATTGATGTCAAAGCCTGGGCGGAAGTCTAATGAATTCATGAATTATTGATACTTTACAAAAAGTTTTTGAGGGGCCACTATATGACCTCTATAATAGCTTTAGGTATGGAAAGCCATCATACTTCAACATCCTTGTCATTAAATTTGCTTGAGAGGATTCTGCCCATGATGTGTGACAAAATAAACTTCCAAGGAGTGGGGCAGGCTGACCTTTGAATGTACTGTGATGTCTTAGGCCTTTGCTCTATATCTTTTGTGTTTGTGCATGTGAGTGATATCCTCTAAGACCTACCAGCTAGTTACTCAATCAAGTATTTAAAGTGTTCTTATTTACTCCTATAGCCTATACAAACAAAACTTCCAGATATGTACTGAGCTGTCACATCAATAAAGCACAAGCAGGATTTGAAAAATAGATATGAACACTTGATAGGCCTCAGAATTCTTAAGACTTTCCCTTCTGCATAAGGCATGCAGTACACATGGTGTCATAAAATATTAAGTGTAGTCCTAAAATGATCAAAATGCCAGTAATGCTTATGAGTGTAAAAATTCTGAACTGCAGATATCTGTCCTAACTATCCTGTCGTTTTTCTAAATTTGAAAGAAAAAGGGACTTCCTTTCTTTGTCCTAATTCCATCAGGTCTTTGACATCTGAAGTGTTAATGTATCACCTCCCCCGTCCCGATATACGTAGGTTCTAACTTTAAGCAACTAGGAATCCCATGCACATTTAGCCAATGACCGTATGTTCATCTTTTTTTTTTTTTTTTTTGCATTTCAATTTTCATATCCATAATATTTACCTTAAAATCAAATGGTTAGTGCCATGTGGAAAAAAAAGGTGAATTTACAGCATATTCAGGGGACTTGCGACTTAGCTGCCTATTGCGTACAGATAATTTCTGATTACTGATGCTCAGGAGTATTTTGCTGGGAATACTTTCAGAAAGGATAGTAAAATAAAAAGTATTTACATTCACTCAATAAACTCTTATTAGACATCTATTAAGTTCTGGGCACTGCAAATACGGATTGAGGAGACAGATAACTGGAATGTATCTAGTACATTGTGTCAGTGAGCCTGCCAACTTCCAATATCTCTTTATTTTGAAGAGATATCTATATTTATTTAAGGTTTTTGTATCTTCGCCATCATCCTTCATCTGAATCTCAATAATCTACATTTCAGTTATTTTATTTTATGTAACACTGTTTGATTTCTTGAGGTTTGTTTTGGCCACAGTTTTAAAGGTCTATTCAGTGGTTTGGATCCTGACTTGTGGTCATGCCAAGTATGAATTGATAATTTAGATCACCTCTGCATTTGTCCAACACCAAAGTAGGTCTGCTCATTTACAAACAAATTTAAAATGTAAATTTCTGTGAAAAATATATTGTAAAACCTTGTACTTACGTGTGGCCACTGAATAATTTCATCTTGCAGTAAAAAGAGTGTAATTTCACATGCAGTTAGAAGTAAACCAATTGCTGAAAGACCCAAACTGCTAAAATTCATCCATAGGGCATACATCAACTGGAATAGATATAAAATGTCAACTGGTTATACGTGGAACAAACAAGCTGACATGAAGTTATCAGTTTGCATTTCTGATAAACACATTAAAGCTGAGGATTTGTTATAACTTCTGATTTTTTTCTGAATCAAAGTTCACTCTAAGGGTTCCCAACCTCCAAATGTGTCAGGATTCCAATAATACAGATGGTTTTCTGATACTGCATGCAGATATTTCATTTCCTCGTTAAATATAAAATTCTTATGGGCACTGTGTTGAGGCAAACAAGAAAGTGCTACGTTCTAATGGGAGAGAAAAACTAGCAACAGTAAATGTGAAGACAGTGCAATAAATACTGACATCATGAATAAACCCAGTGTTCTCTGCAGGGGCGGATTACCATGAAGCTAAAAGCACTTGTCTCTGAGCTTCTCAAATGCACAGGTCTTTTTTCAAGGCCCTGGGAGAAGCCATGCCTACCATCTTAAAATAGTGAGTTTCTGTAATCCCAGCACTTTGGGAGGTCGAGGCGGGTGGATCACGAGGTCAGGAGATCGAGACCATCCTGGCTAACATGGTGAAACCCCGTCTCTACTAAAAATACAGAAAATTGCTGGGCGTGGTGGCGGGCATCTGTAGTCCCAGCTACTCGGGAGGCTGAGGCAGGAGAATGGCGTGAACCCAGAAGGTGGAGCTTGCAGTGAGCTGAGATCGTGCCACTGCACTCCAGCCTGGACGACAGAGCAAGACTCCATCTCAAAAAAAAAAAAAAAAAAAAAAGTGAATTTTGGCTCTTCCTTTCCAATATTTATATTTCTGACTTTTTTTGGGTCTTTTTTCATTAACTAGGATGTCAAATTTCTATATTGAGTAGTAACAATGAAAGTGTTTATTCTTGTCTTGTGCCTCGTTTTAATAGGAATGCTTCTAAAGTTGCATTATCAAGTATGATATTTGCTGTAAATTTTTAATAAATATTTTTGTCATCAAAAGGACATTCCTAGATATTCCTAATAGCTTTTTACCATGAATGATTACAGATTTTGTTGAATTATTTTTTGACATCTTTTAAGATGATCAAATATTTTCTTATCCTTTAATGCAGTAAATTACATTGAAATCGTTTTAAAAATAAACATTGATGCCATAACAGGCATTCTAAAGTATGCAGCTTAGAGAATTATTACAAAGTGTAAGCATTCATGTAGCCACCACCCATATCAAGACACCAAACCTATTCAGCAACCCAGAAATCAATCACTTATATCTCTTTTCACTCCCTATTCCCACCGTCCTCCATAAGAGAAACCACTAGCTGACTTCCAATACCATTGATTCGTTTTGTCTATTTTTGAACTTTATATAAATGTAATCATGCAGTATGTACTGTTTTGTACCTTGTTGCTTTCACTCAAAATTATGTTTGTATGAAATTCATCAGTCTTGTTACGTTTAGTAGTAGTTTTGTTCATTTTCATTGCTATGTTATTTTCCATTCTGTCAGTGTGCTATGATTTGTCTATCCATATTTTTACCAATGCACATTTGGGTTATTTCCGGTTTTGGCCACTGTGAAAAAGGAGGCTATAAACTTTTATTTCCTTTCATAAAACATATGTAAGCATTTCTGATAGAAGTAGAATTAGTCATAGGGCAAACATATGTTCAACTCTGGAAGATACGGTCAAATTTCCAGTGGTTGTAGAAATTTAAACTTCCACTAGTAGTTGTTTTACATTCTTGCCAGTAAGTTAACCATTCTGGCAATTTTGCTGTAGTATTTCATTGTGGTTTTAATTTTTATTTTCCTAATTTTTAATGAGCTTAAGCACATTGCTTTTATTTTTTTTCTATTTTTATTGTTTCTGCCATACTGTCATACAAAATAGCTGTATCATTTTGCAACGTATTTGAGTTGTACAGTATGATGTTTTGATACACATATACATAGTATAATGATTACTACTGTCACGCAAAAGATCATGTCCATCACATCACATAATTACTTTTTTTGTGGTAAGACCACTTAAAATCTACTCACTGAGCACATTTTAAATATATATTATCACCTATTGTCCTCATGCTGTACGTTAGATCTCTAGGCTTATTCATCCTACATCACTGCAATTTTGCACCTTTTGATCTACTTCTCCTCATTTCCTCCCCTCCCTGTCTCTGATTACAACTGTCCTGCTCTCTGTTTCAATGCATTTGGTGTTTATTAGATTCCACATATAAGTGAGATCATACATTCTTTTTGTTTTTGTGTATAGCTTATTTCACTTAACACAATGTACCTCAGGTTCATCCATGTTGTTGCAAATGGCAATATTTCCTTTTTAAAAAAGGCTTAACAATATTCCCTTGTTTGTGTGTATGTGTGTGTGTGTGTGTACCAGTTTATCCATTTATCATTGATGGACACAGGTTGTTTCCAAATATCAGCTATAGTGAATAATGCTGCAATGAACATGAGAATACAGATATGTCTATGAGTTACTGATTTCATTTCCTTTGGTAAAAGAGGGATTGATGGGTTATATGGTAGTTTTATTTGTAATTTCTTGAGGAATCCCCATACTGTTTTCCATAATGACTGTACCAATTTACATTCCCAAGAACAGTGTATAAGGGTTCCCTTTTCAATTTGATTATATTTTAATGAATTTATTGGCCATTTGAATATCATTTTGTATAAGGTGACTGCTCAAGGATTTTGTCTATTTTTATTGGGTTATCTGTACTTTTTATTGATTTTTAGAAGTTCTCGATATATTGTAGATACAAGTCTTTTGTTGGTGACAATTGTAAAATTAACTTTCCCTGTGTGGCTTACCTAGTTTTTGTGAATAGTGCCAATTGATGAATCAAAGTTTCTAATTTTAACGTATTTTCCTGTTTATATCTGGTTTAGGAAATTTTTACCTACCACAAAATCATGCAGATATACACTTATCATCTAGAAGCATTTAATTTTACTTTTTACATTTATATCTGAAGTCTTCTTGAAACTGATTTTTTTGGGTGTGTATGGTATATGGTAGGACTAAAGTTTCGTTCTTTTCACATGAGTCATGTTCAGATAGCTGTAATTACTGAAAAGGCTGCTTGGTTCCCATTGCTCTGCAGTGCCATCTTAGTCAGAAATCAAATGTCTATGTAGGCATGTGTCTGTTTCTGGAAACTCTATTCTGTTCTATTTTATTGGTCTATTTGAGTGATAATATCATACTGTCTTTTTAAAGTTTTAATAAGTCTTAAAATTTGAGAGAGTACGTCCACATTGTTTTTCTTGAAGATTATCGCAGCCTTTTTATTTACACATATATTTTGGGATCAACCTGACTTTCTAAAAATAGCTTTTTTTTTTTTTTTTTTTTTTTTTTAAAGATGGAGTCTCACTCTGTTGCCAGGGTAGAGGGTAGAGTGCAGCACTGCGATCCCGGCTTACTACAACCTCTGCCTGTCCCGGTTCAAGCAATTCTCCTGTCTCAGCCTCCCAAGTAGCTGGGACTACAGGCACTTGCCACCATACCCAGCTAATTTTTGTATTTTTAGTAGAGATGGGGTTTCACCATGTTGAGCAGGATGGTCTCGATCTCTTGACCTCTTGATCTTCCCTCCTCGGTCTCCCAAAGTGCTGGGATTACAGGCGTGAGCTACCACGCCTGGCCAAAATAGATAATTTTTTAAAGAGCAGTTTTAGGTTAATGGAGAAGTTGAGCAGAAATTTTCCATATGCCTCCTGACCTCCCCTTTATCATTATGTAATGCCCTACTTTGTCTATTTTGATCTTTGTTGGTTTAAAGTCTGTTTTGCCAGACACTAGGATTGCAGCCTCTGCTTTTTTCTGTTTACCATTTGTTTGGTAGATTTTTCTCCATCTGTTTATTTTGAGCCTATGTATGTCATTGTATGTAAGATGGATCTCTTGAAGACCACATACTGGTGGGTCTTGGTTCCTTATCCAGCTTGTCACTTTTACATTTAAGATTAATATTGATATGTGTGGATTTGATCCTGTCATCATGATGTTAGCTGTTTATTTTGCAGACTTGTTTATGTAGTTGCTTTATAGCGTCAGTGGTCTGTGTACTTCAGTGTGTTTTTGTAGTGGCTGCTAATGGTCTTTCTTGTCCATATTTAGTGACTTCCTCAGGAGCTGTTGTTAGGCAGGTCTGGTGGTAACAAATTCCCTCAGCATCTGCTTGTCTAAAAGGAATCGTATTTCTCCTTCACTTATGAAGCTTACTTTGGCTGGATATAAAATTGTGGTTTGGAATTTATTTTCTTTATGAATATTGACTATTGTCCTCCAGTCTCTTCTGGCTTGCTGGATTTCATCTGAAAGGTCTGTTGTTAGTCTGATGGGGTTCCCTTTGTACATGACTTGGCCTTTCTCTCTCACTGCCTTTAATATTTTTTTTTCTCCTCATTTTGGCGTTGGAAGAATCTGATGATTGTGTGTCTTGTGGATGATCTTCTTGTAGAGTATTTTACTGGAGTTCTCTGCATTTCCTGAATTCGAATGTTGGCCTCTCTCACTATATTGAGGAAATTCTCATGGATGATATAATGATATATGTTTTCCAGATTGGTTCTGTTCTACACATAGAACCAACCATATCTTTCAGGTACATCCATCAGTCATAGATTCAGTCTCTACATAATCCCTTATTTCTCAGAGGTTTTGTTCATTCCTTTTCATTCTTTTCTCTCTACTCTTGTCTGCCTGTCTTTTTTTGGAAAGCCAGTCTTCAATCTCTAAGATTCTTTCCTCTGCTTGGTTTATTCTGTTATTAATACTTATGATTGCATTGTGAAATTCTTGTAGCATCTATTTTGTCTGTCAGCTCCTGCAATGTTTTATTATGATTTTTAGCTTCCTTGCATTGAGTTATAACATACTCTTGTAGCTTAATGAACTTTGTTTCTATCCATATTCTGAATTACATTTCTGTCATTTCACCCTCAGTCCAGTTCTGAACCGTTGCTGGAGAGGTAATGTGATCCTTTGGA